AAGTGTGCGGCTGATGACCGGAGTGGCACGAGTTGAGGGAAGAACTCGAAACGCGAAGGTTCGAGTGTTCCTGGACTCGGGTGCTGAGGCGTCATTCGTGACTGCAGCGTTGGTGTCAGCAATCGATGCAGAACACGTTGGGGACTCAAGCTAGAGTCATCGCAACGCGGCTTCTTGAAAAGCTGAAGAGGAATGGGAAGCGTGCGCTCTATGATGATGTGCTGATCAGGGAGTACCGTGAGCTTGGAGCAATTGAGCTGGAGCCATGTGAGAGCGATGCCGGGTACTATGTACCGCATCATGGTGTATTTCGCGAGCACGCTGCAACCACGAAGTTAAGAGTGGTGTTCAATGCCTCGGCGACGGCTCCAGATGGCAAGTCGTTGAACGACATGGTTGACCCTGGACCGTCGCTATTGCCGAGTCTCGCAGGTATGTTTTTACGCTTCCGTGAATATAAGAGCGCGCTGCAAGCGGACATCCGCAAGGCTTTCTTCATGGTCGCGGTTAATCCCGAAGACCGTCCGTACCTGCGTTTCTTGTGGCCCGGTCGAAGCGACAGCGATGAACTGTTAACCTGGAGGCTAACGAAACTGCCATTTGGCGTAAACTGCTCGCCGTACATGCTTACTGCGGTGATTCAGCATCACTTGAAGGAGCTACGGGCGTTGTCTGCACCCAAAGAGCGAGATCGTATTGATCTCTTGCTCACGAGTTTCTACGTTGACGATTTGGTCTCTAGTGTCTCAAATGCCTCGGAAGCCAAGGAGATGCAAGAGTTCAGCGTGCGTGTGCTTACGGAAGCTGGCATGGAGTTACGCAAGTGGCGAGGCAACGAAATCCCGTGCAATCCAGAGGCCGGAGATAAAGTCCTCGGTCTGAAATGGAAAACCAGTGATGACTTGCTCAGCATAGCAGCGCTAGGCGAGTCCGATAGGCCGTCTGTTTGGACCCGGCGATCCCTCCTCAAGTGTGTTGCATCAGTGTTTGATCCGCTAGGTCTAGCAGCACCGGCAGTTGTGCCGGGAAAGATACTGCTACAGCAAGCCTGGAAAGTCGGAGGCGACTGGGATGATATGTTGCCTGATGGCATCGCAGCCGCATGTGCGCAATGGTGGGGAGAGTTGGCCGAAGTGGTGAGCATTGACATACCACGTTGGATTTGCTGCAATCTTGACACGCCGATTGCGCTTCATGCCTTCGCCGATGCCAGTGAGAAAGCGTTTGGATGTTGTTTGTATGCCGTCGTCAATGGACAGTCGCACTTGGTATTTGCCAAGGCCAAAGTGGCACCTGTGTCTCCGCCCACGTTAGCCCGCCTTGAGTTACAAGCAGTATGTCTAGCGGCTCGCTACGCTGAGTTTGTGGTGAAGGAGCTGCGTGTGACCGTCACGCAAGTCTATGGCTGGACTGACAGTCTCACTACCGTTCATTGGATCAGTAATCCATCGTACAAATGGAAAACATTTGTGGCTAACCGCGTCAGTCAAGTCCAAGAGATATCGAAGAAGGTCGGCATTGTGTGGAACCATTGCCCGGGCCTTCACAACCCAGCAGATTTACCGTCGCGTGGGAGTAGTGCACAGCAGATCCGTAGTCCGTTCTGGAGGGGCGGACCAACCTGGATCACGGAGCCCAATGACTGGCCCACCGCATCCTCAACCGCAGCTACAGATGAGTCCAGTGTAGAGGTACGAGTGTCAGCCACCACCTGTAGTCGAGAATCTGATAAGGAATGGTGGCTCCGATTCAGTAAATGGTCGAGGGCACAGGGCATGGTGACTCGGATGTTGCAGTGGAAGCACACTGAGCCTCGTGCTGAACTCTATTTTGCAGCAGACAACGTATTGTACCGCATCGTTCAAGCCGCATGTTTCGCTGAGGATCTTGAGCTGATCCAGCAAGGTCAACCAGTGAAGCCTGGGTCGAAGGTGTATCAGCTTGCACCGTTTCTGGATGAGCATGGAGTGCTCAGAGCCGGGGGACGACTTCAGCACAGCGAGTTGGCGTATGGAGCCAAGCACCCAGTCCTGTTAGGCAAACATCATCTGACCGAGTTGCTGTTGGAGAAAATGCATGTTGAAAGGATGCACCAAGGTGTAGAAGGAGTCTTGTCGTTCATCCGTCAGAAATTTTGGATTATCGGTGGTCGACGGGCGCTACGCAACATTACTCAGCGATGTGTTACATGCCGCCGCTACAAGGCTAAGGCTGCCTCAGAAGTCTGCCCGCCGCTACAAGGCTAAGGCTGCCTCAGAAGTCTGCCCGCCGCTGCCGGAAGACCGAGTTGTTCACGAGAGGCCGTTCGCAACTACCGGCATCGACTATGCTGGTCCGTTGTACGTGCGCCGTGGTGAGTCATCTCCGAAGGTATGGATAGCATTGTTTGTGTGTGCCCCCACCAGAGCAGTTCACTTGGAGGTGGTCGATAGTTTAAGTACCGAGTCATTCTTGATGGCATTTCGGAAGTTTGTCGCGAGACGTAGTTTGCCGTCTCGGATCAGGTCTGACAACGCTACAACGTTCAAGGCGGCATCTGACAAACTGAGTGTGCCATGGATGTTCAATCCTCCAGCTGCACCATGGCATGGAGGCTTCTATGAGCGAATGGTTGGTACAGTGATGATTGCCTTGAAAAAGGTAATGGGAACAGCGTTTCTGAAGGTCCAGGAGCTTGAGACCCTCTTGTATGAGGTTGAAGCAGTGGTGAATAGTCGTCCGCTAGCTTATGTGTCTGATAGCCTGGATGAGCCACCAGTAACCCCTGCAATGATGATGGGTAAAATCTGGATGTCGTCAGAGAAGCCAGCAGGTACCCTGGACGCTGCGCAGATGTCATCGAGATTGCGTTACCTCAGTCGGACACTGGAGCATGTCAAGAGTCGTTGGGAGGTGGAGTACCTAAGTCAGCTGAACAAGCACCAACAGACCATGTCGCGCCCTTTAGCTATGGGTGATGTTGTCTTTGTTCTCGATGATACCAAACGCAAACAGTTCTGGCGTTTGGGACGGATCATCGAGTTATTCCCTGGTCGAGATGGTAAGCGTCGTGTTGCCAAGGTTAAGTTGAGTACCAGTACCCTGTTGAGGCCGATCCAAAGGTTAGTGCCATTAGAAGTATCGTCACAGGACGTGGCTCCTGGGCTTGCCGATACCGCTCAACCTGCTATCGTCCCTCAGCAGCCAGCGTATGAACCGTCAGCACCGTTACCACCACCACGGCAGCAGGAGATGACGCGTTCTGGGCGCGTAGTCAGAGCCCCGGATCGTTTTTGACTTGTGTGCATTGTTGTACGGCGGTGAGAAGCCCTTTGGTGGGGAGAATGCTGTAAACCACCAGTTCTCAATTGGGAAAGGCCTTCGCGCTTATGGCATTGTATTCGTCGCAATGTTGTCTTTCGACTCCGCCGTACCGCTGATGTTGCTGCATGGCATACGCTATATGCGCTGTGTGTGTTTTGCTGTATACGCTGTTATGTCCAGTTTTATATGCGTATGTTTTTGCATGTACGCTGTTTTTGCATGCTATAAATAGCTGGTGTTATTAGTGTTCATTGTTAATTATCAGATGAAGTGAAATATACTGTGTAAAGGAAAACAGTTGTCCTCGTGCCGTGTGGTCGTACGATCCTGACAATTTAGAGAATCTTAGAGGGTTCATAACACTATTTAAGACGTCATAGAGTTGGGCTACCCGCTGGGTCCAGTTCTAGCCAATGTATTTGTGGGTTGGTGTGAGTGTCAGTCGAAGATAGATAAATGGCCAGAATTGAATGTCGGTTTTGTGGCCGATTTGTTCACTTACTTTAACTCTGAAGTGGACCATGAGGTGTTCTTATCCCTATTGCTGAAGGGATGGAGGTGGTCGCTAGAGTCCTGCAGCAGCACTTCGAGTCTGTGAACGTGTGTGATCCGGTGTCTGTTGCATGGCGTAGGTAATAGCTTGGTACTGAAAGAGCTATGAAGCATCAGAGGACAGCAAGAGGGAAATATATATTATAAATACTTAAGATCCAGCACCGAAAAACATAAGGATGGCATGCACAGGCGAGATCAAGAAACATAAAGCTTTAACCAGTTGACTTGGCCTGGCAGCTTACTGGTGTGTCTCGCACACTTTACACACTCAAAGGGTGGCTTAACCTCCATGAATTGGTTTGCCGCGACAACTATGGAGTTGTGCAGTGCGCCATCATGTTACCTCACCTGGTGCATTGCCGACTGCCGCGACTGAGAGATGACTATGCGCTACCTGCTGGTCTAGTTATCGCTCCATCTGGAACGTACACTTTGTTCTATTGAGAGAGTCCGGGAACCCTAGTCTTACTCTCTGGATGAAGGAAACCGGGACAGTAACGCTTCCCAACCCTGGTTAACATCACCCCCCCCCCCCCTACTGTTCCTGTTGCCTTCTCTGTTGTGCTGCAATAGCCCAATGTTTTTGTCATACCTGTTTGCACTCATACAATCCCTTGCTGCACTTTGAAGTTGTTTCCGATGCCCATGTACTCATTATTCTTTGCTTGCTTTTATGCTGAGGAACATAAGCTGGATCCCTATACTGCATAACCCGCGTACTCATTCGGCTCGTTCGGTAGAAATTATTGATGTTACAAATAATCGATTATTCGAATTTCCTCGATCTCTTGTACCTCAAGTCCTCAACAAATAATCGATCGGATATATTCTAGGTTGAAGGTTCGAAAATTCGAATATTCGCAGGCGGACAAAGTCTGTGCACTGCATACCACGCGCACAACCCTAGACCTCTCGACTGGAATGCATAAACTAAGTTACTAAGTTAAACTACAGTCCATTCATAACAAGATGGGCCCTGGCTCTGGCGAGCTACCGTATTTGGCAATTTTTAGTGATTTTATCGTACAGAGTGCAGTGCTGCAGAATTTGAAATTTTAAAAGGGTCCAAAAAGGGTACCTGAACTGGGGTTCTAACCGCACAGTGCACCTTTGGGTGACTTTTTTGTGTTGTTATCTTTTAGGACAATGATACTCCACTTGATCTGGCAATGCAAGGAACGTATACAGAGGTTGTGTCCATCATAATGAAGTACATCCGTACTGTACTTAGCAATCAAGAGGTAATTACTCTATAGTCCATTACAGGTACCGGTATACTAGTAGTACAGGTTTGCCTTTTTCGACTTACCGTAATGTCGCGTGCATAAGCCGGATTTGTGCATAAGCCTGTCTCGTGTAGAAGCATGAAATCTGCAACAGCTTTTCGCGTACAAGCCTGTCGCATGCATAAGCCGGGCCAGTACACGAGACGCGCCACGTGTCGCGTGCGTAAGCCGGGCTACTACGCAAGACTGGTGAGCGCGCCTTTTACATGTTCATGTTTGCATGGTACCGTACACTTGCGAAAAAAAAGAAAAAAAATCCCGTTGGAAAATGTTGGTTTTGACGTCCAAAAGTCAGCAGTTTGCGCATACAAGCCTGGTCATTGAGTGGTGCTTGTCATATAAGCCTGTCTCGTGTATAAGCCTGTCTTGTGTACAAGCCTGACTCCATCACCGGCTTATAGGCATATAAGCCCCGGCTAATGCACGCGACATTACGGTATCCAGATGAACAGATTTGTGCCAGCAGACCCATGAGTCATGTCCTGGTGTTGTTACCTGGCACTCTGATAGTTGCTCTCTTTTATGTATGCATAGGCTTTTGGTGAAGCAAGTGATGAATCAGGGGCGTCACACACGGTATGACCACTATGACCATGGTCGTGCCACTTTTCGTCCAGGATGGTCCACCCAATTCATCCAAAAAAAGCAATAAAAAAATTCAAGGATCTTCGAACTTGTACAAAACATCACAACTAAGTTACTTTCATTGCAAGGAGCATACAATTACTTGGTTCAGACTTGATGCCTAGCAGCTGGCACCCCAAAACTCCGAGAGACTATCCATTGCGATAGGCGGTTGGAGTCACGGGTAGAGACAACCAGATGATGGATTCCTCATGGACGCATTCACTGCAAACTTGACGGAAACAGTGCTGGCGGCGATCACTGGGTCCAGAACTAAAATTTCCAATATCTACCATATGGTAGATCTTGGAAATGTTTAGTTCTGGCGATCAGCACGGTCAAGAGACACTACAAGCATGTCACTTGTCAGCTTCAACAACATATTCTTTCCACAAGGACACCTACCTAGTACCTCTGGCTCCTGACGATCTACTGCAAGCTAATGCGAAAATGCATTGCATCTATACCCGCGAACGCCATGCTTGTCAACGGAATAGGGAAGCGCTTCATTCTCTGAAGTTGAAAAGTGTTTGGACTGCTGTTCCACGGCGCCAGAACGTTCTGCATTTGTTCATTGACACGACCCGCTTCACCAAATGACTCACGATTGTTTCGTTCTCCGAATTTTCTGGTAGCAGCAACAAGAATTGCGTCCACGGTGACAGGACGAAAGTCTCTCGCAAATTAAAGTCCTGTTGCCATGAAGACAGAGAAGATTCCGCAAGCCCGTTCTTCTCCTTCCAGTGTTGTAGCTCTCCGGCCAACTGGCAGATCTTTCAATCCCACCGAACACAAAAAAGGATCTTCTTCTTTCTCTAAAACAACTTATTTTAAAACATAATTACTTCGCGACTGTCCGCGGGATCCGTATCAAATGTCTCCGAAACGCTTGTTTGCATAACATATGTATTTATTTTAAGTATGTGAAGGTGCACGCTTTGGCACATGTAGAGCATTTCGTTCATAGCATAAGCCATTAACACGTAAGTACAATGTGCAATGAGTGTATGATAATTATGGTGTCATTCGACTACTTCTTATGTACTACTACCTCCGACAAGCGAAACTTGGCGCGTGTTTTTCTTGCTTTTGTGTTGGTACCACAACTTCACAAAGCTGTTAGGTACGACCTACTTGTAGCTCGATGCCACCGGGTGCAGGAAGCCAAGCGATAAGCTGGTGAGTGGCACATAGTTCAGACTTAGTCAGAGGGTGGTTTGCTAAGGCAGACCAGTCTCTCGTGTACCAGCACAACGGTGCGTGCTTCCATTCTGCGAAGGTGAATCGTCGTGCCTTCGCATGTCAATGCAAAACCAAGGAGTTCTCTCTCTCTTCACCTGGTCACTCCGCCAGAACAGAGTCCAGGCGTATATGTCAACAACCTACTCAATCTGCGGACAGCATGCTGTTTCGTTCTTTGTGAACTCATCAGCGCAGCACAGAGGAAATGAGGCCGAACCTGATAGCAATGAAAATAAAAAATGTCCAATCAGGCCCGAACGTACCTTGCCAGAGTGCTCAAACTGACAAGTCAGTGAGCTCTGCGTAATGCAAACAGCAAAGGCACTACCCCACATGAGAGTGCTCAACTACTACAAGAGCAGGAGCGAAAATACCAACAACCTAGCGTCTTTCAATAAGTTAGCCTTCCGAGCGATGCGTCTCTGGTGACTAACGAAATTTGCCAGCAATTGCTGCCGGCAATTTTGGATTGTTGGCGAGAATAACCGGCGAAAAAGGTTGGGAGTCCAGGCGCGTGTGGAGGTGTTGCACAATTCACGGCATTCTGGAGAGTGGCGGTGGAAATGACTATCCTCGACATCGTGGCCCAAGCACAGCACACACGCGCGACACCGAGATTTCCAGAGCGATCACGGCAGAAGAGGTACTTGCTGCAACTGAATCAACTCCTGTCGCATTTTCGTCTCACTACAGGGACAATTCCTCGCCAGAAGAAGCTGTGATCTCTGAGTCAGAGGAGAATGATTCAGACTACCGTAAGGTCGCGGATAAAAGCCAGGCTTCTAAGCATATAAGCCTCTTTCTGCACCAGGCTTTAATGCAAACCAGGCTTGTATACAAACCATCCTTATATGCACCACTGATATTTTTGCCAGGCTTGTGTGCACATAGAAGCCAGGCTTCTACGCGCGACACGTATAGATCTACTACTGACTACCGGTATGGCGGCAGTTTTACTTTGCACTGTGCATAGCGCATGCACTCTTGCCCTACCCGATCCGCGCTCGCATAGAAGCCAGGCTTCTACGCGCGACAGGCTTTTATGCATTTGACCCGTTTGATTTTCAGGATCCGCGATGTGCTTGTATGCAAACCCGGCTTTTATCCGCAACTTTATGGTAACTGGTGTCTCTAATGAATTATGTCCTTGTTGAGCAATACAAAGTTAGTTGTATTTTGGCAAGTCTATCATTATTTTCGAATGTAAAGTGTGAGGTATTTCGAGTAATTTCAAGTAAAAAACGCGCTAAGTTTTGCTTGTCGGAGGTAGTACTTCTCATGAACAGTAATCCATCACTGCAGTTGTGCAATGCTTCTATGCTGTCAGTTCAGAGTGAGGACTGACAAAGAGACTTTTGCTGGAACTTCTGTCGTGCTTCTCAACTTGTTAACCATTAGTGAAATTAATGTAGTAAACAGTTTCCTCTAAGACAAAAATGCGATAATACAAATGTTTACTTTAGTCTTCTTTGCGCTGTTTTACCACCTCCTTACTGTACTTAATCCACTGTTCCTGTTCCTTTTCCCTTGCCTGTATTTCACCTGATGAGAAGGCTTGAAAGTATACTTGTGAAACCAAAAACTTTCAAGATGTTCGTAAAGAGCCTGAAGTGTGTCCTTTTTATGAATATTATAAAATTAATATATTTATCTGAAGTCTGAAGAAAACGTTGAACGGTCTCTGCTTGGATGACGACTACACCATAGCTCAGTGGTTAGAGCATCGCTGGCTACAAGCGAGGGTCCCTGGTTCGAGTCCTGGTGGTGACAGTCAATTTTTTCTTCAGACTTTTCCCGTTTGTCTCTTCCCCTCAAACCAGTTAATATTTTATGACTTGGGGCTCCCCGCGTGCTAGTTTGTACGTGAAGTGTGTGGGTTACAGTGAGGGCTGCGTCCCACCCGCCTGTGTGGATTCACAGGAAGTGTGAGTTACGAAGTCTGAAGAAAACGTTGAACGGTCTCTGCTTGGATGACGACTACACCATAGCTCAGTGGTTAGAGCATCGCTGGCTACAAGCGAGGGTCCCTGGTTCGAGTCCTGGTGGTGACAGTCATTTTTTTCTTCAGACTTTTCCCGTTTGTCTCTTCCCCTCAAACCAGTTAATATTTTATGACTTAGGGCTCCCCGCGTGCTAGTTTGTACGTGAAGTGTGTGGGTTACAGTGAGGGCTGCGTCCCACCCGCCTGTGGGGATTCACAGGAAGTGTGAGTTACGAAGTCTGAAGAAAACGTTGAACGGTCTCTGCTTGGATGACGACTACACCTAGCTCAGTGGTTAGAGCATCGCTGGCTACAAGCGAGGGTCCCTGGTTCGAGTCCTGGTGGTGACAGTCAATTTTTTCTTCAGACTTTTCCCGTTTGTCTCTTCCCCTCAAACCAGTTAATATTTTATGACTTGGGGCTCCCCGCGTGCTAGTTTGTACGTGAAGTGTGTGGGTTACAGTGAGGGCTGCGTCCCACCCGCCTGTGTGGATTCACAGGAAGTGTGAGTTACGAAGTCTGAAGAAAACGTTGAACGGTCTCTGCTTGGATGACGACTACACCATAGCTCAGTGGTTAGAGCATCGCTGGCTACAAGCGAGGGTCCCTGGTTCGAGTCCTGGTGGTGACAGTCAATTTTTTCTTCAGACTTTTCCCGTTTGTCTCTTCCCCTCAAACCAGTTAATATTTTATGACTTGGGGCTCCCCGCGTGCTAGTTTGTACGTGAAGTGTGTGGGTTACAGTGAGGGCTGCGTCCCACCCGCCTGTGTGGATTCACAGGAAGTGTGAGTTACGAAGTCTGAAGAAAACGTTGAACGGTCTCTGCTTGGATGACGACTACACCATAGCTCAGTGGTTAGAGCATCGCTGGCTACAAGCGAGGGTCCCTGGTTCGAGTCCTGGTGGTGACAGTCAATTTTTTCTTCCGACTTTTCCCGTTTGTCTCTTCCCCTCAAACCAGTTAATATTTTATGACTTGGGGCTCCCGCGTGCTAGTTTGTACGTGAAGTGTGTGGGTTACAGTGAGGGCTGCGTCCCACCCACCTGTGTGGATTCACAGGAAGTGTGAGTTACGAAGTCTGAAGAAAACGTTGAACGGTCTCTGCT